GCTAAATGCATTCTCAGAACTTTTGAGCTTGTGTCTGGGCTCAAGATAAATTTCTCGAAGAGTCAATTGATAAGCATTAACGTGGAAGATGAGTGGGCACTCAGAATGTCATATTTGCTAAATTGCCAAATTGGGGATATGCCTTTTAAATACCTGGGAATGCTGGTTGGGGGGAATCACATGAGGCTGTCTTTTTGGCAAACTTTGGTGGACTCCATGAAGAAGAAGCTATTGAGTTGGAAAGGGAAATGGTTATCGTTTGGAGGTAGAATAACACTTCTAAACTCTGTTCTTACGTCATTGCCAGTTTTCTTATTGTCTGTTTTCCTCGCACCAAAAAGTGTTGTGAGAACTATGGAAAAAATCAGGAGGGATTTTTTATGGGGTGGGTGTGAAGAAAGTAGGAAAGTGCATTGGGTCAGTTGGGAGATGGTTTGTAAAGATAGACACGAGGGGGGACTGGGAGTTAAGAGTATTAGGACCTTTAATCTTTCTTTGCTCGGTAAATGGTGGGGAAAGCTTGCTAAAGGAGAGGTGGGGTTGTGGAGTAGGTTAATTAAGGAAAAATATGGTGTTGGGAATGAGAATTGGATGTCATGGGTAAAGGATGGTAGAGGGGAGGGCTCTAGCTGGTGGAAGGATGTTTGTAGGATAGATGTATTGGGAGAAAATAGAAATGGGTGGTTATCAAATGGTTTCGAGATTATATTAGGAGATGGAGAAGAAGTAAGTTTTTGGTGGGATTCATGGTGTGAGGAGGGGGTCCTAGCTCATAGATTTCCAAGGCTTTATATGCTTTCTGCAGGTATGGACTATAAAATAAAGCAAATGGGAGTTTGGATTGAGGACAAATGGAGCTGGACGTTACCTTGGAGGCGTTTGTTGCTAGACAGAGAATCCCAAGCAGTAGAGGAATTAAAAAAGGTGCTGGAATCAACTAAGCTATATCAAGGACGAAAAGATAAGTGGGTTTGGAAATTTAGCATGGATGGTTGCTACACAACAAGATCATGTTATTCCAATCTTACTGTCACACAAATGAAGAGCCATAAGTATGTCTTTGGAAGAGTATGGAATCCAAATGCCCCTACAAAGGTGTGTGGTTTCAATTGGCAACTTCTTTTAAATAGAGTGCCCACTAAAACTAATTTATTCAAGAGAGGCATTATCAAGGATCCTGCAGAAGTGATGTGCTGCCTTTGCCAGGAACATGTGGAAGATTGTGATCATCTATTCATTACTTGTAAAGTCACTGTTGAAATCTGGAATAGATGCTTCAATTGGTGGGGTGTTCAAACTGTGTTGGCTAGTAATATTTGGGATGTCTTTAACAACCATGAGGGTATTGCAGTGTCCAAACGGATGAGGATTGGTTGGGAGATGGTGTGGTTAGCTCTGGTATGGACTATATGGCTCACTCGAAATGAGATTTTGTTCAACAATAAAATGGTGGATACAAACAAGATATTTGATTAT